AGGTATGGATGGATGGTTCCCAAATTTATGTTACTTCTTTGTTACTAAAAAAAAAAAAAATTATAAATGCAGCCTTAACTAAAAAATAACTAAACTAACTAAAAACTAAAAAAAAGACAGCACATCATATTGTCCCAGATACAAATTTATTCCACACCAAACAGCATACATATTCTATTCTCATCGTAGGTAAGTCAGAAAAAAATGTCCTTACAAAAATAGCAGATTTCAGATATGGAAGTATTTCTGTTATCTTACAGGTCACCCTCATATTCCTGTGTCTGATCTTTTGATTTCCTGTCAGTCTGCCTGTCTACTCTCCCCATCCACGTGCTGTCAACCTACTCTACACACGTACACACAATCCCCACAACTAAGCCACTCAAAACAATATTTCCGTACTCGCTCAAAAATAGCTACACTCTCCGTTTATAACATTTGTATCATCAAGTTGCACTGGATTGCTAACTTCTATGCACCCCAAGCTACTATCAATTAACCCACTTACCTCAAACATTTAGATGGATTAAAGTTTTCCTAATAATGTCAGCGACAGTGTATCCATCTTAATCGTGTAACACGCATTTCTATTTGCATTTCTATTTGCTAGCATACAAATCGTTCCTGTCCACCATATTATGTCACTGTTCTCAACATTACAAAAAAGATTATGCTGCTTCAGCATTGAGTACAGTTTAACACAACACACACCAATAAAAGTATTATCTTTGTGAACACAATTCAACACATCCTGTTCATCTACACTAGATATATTCTGAATTAATCTGATTCAGTATCCAACTGAAACTTAATGGAATTTTCTCCTTCTACCGTTCTGCTATCACATGCACATTAAATGTAACCATGCTCAGATCTGGTGTTTCTTGAGATGGGGGACTGATGAGATTTATGTTGTCTGTCAATGGCATCAAAATGACGTTGTATATATTGAAGCTCCGATCCCATCCGCCATCTTGGATTGGCAATCTTCAACTACATTGAACCTTGATTGGATTAAAGCAAAATTACTGCGTTTTGTCAACATATCGGTTAGAACCTGGTTAACAGGAAAACTAAGCCGTTCAGACGTTGTACGACGTAAAAGATGCGGTGGGCCTCAGAAGCTACCCCGTCACACACACACACTGAATAGGGTTAATTTTCCTCTGCATCTACTCTGCACCTAGCCAAATATCATTTTTTGTAAGTGCAAACTTGCAAACATCTTCACTTAATCACTACCACCACATCTTACTCAGTTTTCAATTTCAGAAGAAGAATGCCACGTGTTTGCACCTTGCAGAAAACTGCTGATGCGAACTGAGCAGCTAGATGCTGATGTCGTTGGGAATCTCCAGTTAGATGCTGATGGCGTTGGGAATCAGACGAGGGTCCAGGTAGTCGTACGGCTGGGAACGCTCAGTAGAGTTCTTGCGCTCGATTTCCAGTGCGATGTTTGCCAAGTCTTTGTTGAATCTAAGTGGAAAAAGACTTCTGAAATTATCCAAATTATCATTTATTGCCAAAGACTTTACAGTGAGTTCCAGTGGTACTTGATTTAGTGCCAGTATGGCAGGCAAACAAAGTTTGACTTGAAATGGGATTTTGCCATAGCCTGGGTGCCATCCTCCGTAGTTTTCACCCGCTCCCTAATGTCGGGCGCTGGCTACCACGGAGTGTGTCTGGACTTGCAGACATATGTGTTATAAAACGTCACGTAATGAGCTAGCCCGTGCAGTGCGATAGAAGAAGATCTATCTAACGTAGCCGTTCGGACGTGGAAAGGACGCTAACGTCGCCATTCGATCGTCCGAACGGCTTACCTATTATATGTACACACCTTTCCTACAAGATAGCTCCCCCCCCCCAAACCAAAAGGGCTTAGACGAGTAGCACCAATCAGCGCGCTTGTTCAAAACCTGAACGAATATGCAGATTCCAGACGATACATACATGTATGTCAGCAAGTCCAGACTCCGTGGTAGCCAGTGACATTAGGGAGCAGGCGAAAACTATGGAGGATGGCACCCTGGCTAATTTTGCCAAGGACAATTGCAAGTGACCACAAGATCCCACAAGTGTTACAGTTTCAGTTACGAATCCAATACTCTTTTTACCTTTCCCCCATGGAAGTACTTACTTTACCATATGGCAAACAAAAGTGGCACTGCGAATTTGAAATATTATATTTTGGTTTTACTAAGGATCACTTACGTATCAATGACTCTTTCTGCCTTGTCCCCTTGGAGGTACTTGACCTCAAAGTCCCCTAGAGGCTGGGTGGCGCGCTCGCTCAGGACTCCTGTCAGCAGATGGATCATCACAGTCTGGAACTTCCCAGGCAGTGCGTTTAGGACGTCTTGTTCCGTCAGAATCTCCTAAAGAGGGAGTCACAATCGTTATCGTTGTCAAGATGATTTTAAACAATTCTCTGGTGCCCTTTGCAGGTTTGTTTTAATTAGGATGTACAGCATGCTCACTAAGAAACTTTAGAAATTATGTATAGATCTGTGTAATATTTGGTATGTGGATATGAGTCAGCAAATGACAAATTCAATTACCCTCTACCCCTGGCTTTGTAAGGTTCTGCAACTCAATTTTTCCGTTAACAGCTACTATTCTGGACATCCAATGGCCACGAACTCTGAATAGGCTTCCTTACCTGCTGCTACACGACGGGATACACAAGTTCCTCATTTTGTTCACGGTTTGTGTTATTGTCATGTTTACGCGCGTACACGGTCAACTTTTATACGATTAGTACAACTTTGAAAAGCTATCTTGACAGTAGGAATGGTGGTATTCCCGAACAGTCTTCCTTACTCCTTCTTATATCCAGAACCGTGCTTTATCCAGAACCATGCTCAGGCACGGCTCGATAGTCCACACGTATACAGGACCGTGCCTGAGGCAAATCTACGTTCTTAGATACGCGATAACTATCCAGAACCGTGCCAGATCCCAACCCTGACCCATTCAGGCATAGATAGAGATAGGCACGGTTCTGGGCGTTATTGTTTTTAACTTTTGAAGTTAACAATTCAAGCTGTGGTTGATGAATTTGCATATTTTTACATAGGTATGTATTTTAGTTAACGATTAACATATAGAGCTGTATGAAGTTGTAATCTTCGACTAATTTACATAATTTAATATGGTAATCTATAATTGCATTTAACTATAGATGATGTTAGGGTTTGTTTGTCCCTAGAACTATGTACCGTGTACCTAGGTTTATGTTGAACTTCGTTATATTAGCAAGGCAGCTGTATTATGACCTAAATGTGAGCCGAGTACTGTGAGAAATTGCTCTAAACCTCTGCATATTGACAGGTTCACTAACACGCACAATTTAGGAACTAAGGAGCTTGGATGGAGGGAGTAGTCTCTACCAGACTAACTACACTGGCTACACTATATATGTATATAGGAGAATATTTGCCGGGGGAGTTTGGCATCCTTGGAGTTTGGACTGGCCGCCGAGGGAAAGAAACAACCTCCCCGCGGCCGGACTCCCTCGGACAATTTTACTCTCTTTTTTTGCCGAATTCTACGATCCGTATTCCTATAGAAAGGCCTGGTGGAGGCTAGACACCATCTTTCTTCAGCTACTGACCTAGGCCTGAATTGTAACACTTCTTTGCATGGCGAAGTCATGTGTTACTCGAATTCTAGTTGTTTCTGATTTAGGGACAAGGGATAATGTTTATGTAATCTGTAATGTAATCTGTAGTCTGTATAAGTGGCTTTCGGGTCTTGTTTCTAGATGACAATTGTGAAAGGACCATTGGTAGACCTTGTTTCTCGGAGGGTTTCCCTCCAGCACGAGCGGCATGTTGGGTACGAAGGCGTACTGGTCCCACTGCATGAAGTTGACGGCTGCGTGCTGCACACTGGCGGTGAAGATGATGGAGGTCAGGATCTGGACCAGCTGATTCACGTTGGTCAAAGCTCCGTTTCCAGGAACCCCCTGTGTTTAATAGATTACATTAATTTTGACTTAATTAAGATTTAGAATGACCACCGTGGGGTCGTGTGGCGTAGCGGCAGAGTGCGCGACTCGGAACTAAGAGTCCCGGGTTCGAGTCCTGACATGCCACCGATCTTGTGCCCTTGGGAAAGGCACTTAACACGACTTTCCTCACTTAGCTCAGGTGTAAATGAGTATTGTCCTGTCATGTATTTGTCCCCTGTGTTGGTGGCGGCATTAATATAAGTTGAAAAAACTTGAGTGTGTCGTCACCACGTCTGGTGATTACATGTTGGAATAATAAAAAAAATGACCACCTTTGGGTTACCGTAGGAGGCTGAAACGTCATGTATATGATTATACAATTCATATCTCTAGAGATCACATCTGATCAAGTTCATTTCAAACCCTTTACCAGTTTGGTTAATAAAATGTCTTATTACGATGTCAATTACCAACACATGGGAGACACCAAATGCCAACACATTGGAGACACTTGCAATAAACAGAACTCTTTGGAGACAGGAAGTTAAGAAGGGGTTACGTTACACCGGGGGGAAGAAAAACAGAAACTCGCATCAGAACACAGACGCTTTAAGCGTAAAGCAAAACATGAGTACATGATGTAGAAGATGATTCTTCTTCGTGGTCTTACGAGACCGATGAAATGCCTACTACTACTACTACTGTTGCATAACTTAGTGTTACCAGTTGTACATCATCATCCATAAACGAAGAGAAATGAAACGATTTAGATATTATCAGTTGTTGAAAGTCTCTAATTTTTCTGCCAAGATTTTTTTATCAGAACATCAGTCGACCAAGACATTAAATCGAAATATCCTCAATCACAACGACCGGTTTAGAATAAGCGGAATTTTAACGTACCTGGATTCCGCTGGTAACAAGAGCCTTCGCAAAACTCTGGATCTCGACATCCTCCTTCAGTATGGTGGAGTTGCCTTTCTCTAAAATAAGCAAGTATTAGATAATATGATATGTACACACACACACACACACACATATATATATATATATATATACACACATGTATATACTAAGAGTTTACGTTTCTTGGCAGCTCAAATCGAGCTTAAAGCGAGGTAAATTATTCGAATCCCATGAAAATTACCCATGTGTTTTTTTTTACTGATGTGCATTTGGGGTGGGAGCTGGGAGAGGTGTCTTCATATGTTCTTCCAAATAAATAAAAACAAATAAATACATGTACATACGCACTCACTGCACAGAACCCTACATGTATCTTTAAATACAACATAAAGCTTGCGTAAAGATACACGCGAGTGATCATGAAAAAAACGGAATGCCTACGTATGCTTTCAGTCGTGCTTAAAGAATGGATTTTGTAATGTGCAGTGACTTCACCTGCCATTGAGTTATTAAAATATTGCCTCCAGACGTTTTATTATAAACACATCAAATATTGAATTTAACTTCATATCTAGAAAATTTGTTTTTTAACGTTTTCAAATTTGATTTATTACATGCGTTCAAGTTATCACCATTCTAACCACTTACCATCGGGATGGTAGAAGTATCCCACAACTTTGGTGACATGGTTCTTGATAACCTCATAGGTGGGCAGGGCATCGTCGCGATAGTAGTACTTGGGCAGATGGTCAGCGTTGTCAACCTAACAAAATGGGTGCAAATACACGAAAGAAGTCACCAACATACCTTCCAATTTCTCAATTTTTGCCGACAAAAAAGTTACATTCGTCTCCTCCCAGTGCCACAAAACCCGTGTAACACAGGAAAATCTTTTAAAAAGAACAAACCCAACATTTATAGCATTAGAATTAATAGCCTCCTTAACAGACTTGTGCGGTGGCGGCGGCGTTAATTTTGAAGAGAAGTGGCAAAGGAGGCTTAGAATCAACACCTTGTTCTTTGTCATTGCCTTTCACTAATGGTATCTATCTTGTTGTTTGTAATAAGCCTTCGGGTGGGAATTAGCAACAAACATTTCATCATACCAGGATGCTCTGATACACACAAAACTTTAACTGCAACTTGTGAAGATGAAATACCCTCCATACCAAAATTACTGAAACCTTGTCCAGAGTCAAAAGTCAGTACAAGCGTAACTGCTGCTCATGATAAAAAAGAAAGTAGTAAAGATATCAATATAATACTTGACAGTATAAAGATAATATAACTCACGCCACGGTTTTTTAGGTCTTCTGGTAGAGTACCATCCGTATCGAGACGCCAAGTCTTCAACCTGTTTCAGTAGAAAAAAACGAACAATCTGGTACAGTCATAAAGTAAAGGAATTAAGGTAAGTCGTAACATCAATACATTATTACCAGTAGTGACTAATTACTTCTATACAGATTACTAAAACATTCCTATAACGAAGAAAAATATCTCAACTTAGCGAACATACGTCACAGGTCCTCCATTACAAAACTAAGAATCAGTTGTCACAAATTACGAATCGAATCAGGAAGACATAACCGCACTCCTCTAGAACAAAGAACCTGTCAATTCTGTAGTGTAGGCCAAATAGAAGATGAAATACATTTCACCATAGATTGCCCCTTGTATAGTAGAGATAGACTCATATTTTTTAGCCATGTATTAAGTATATTTCCCCACTTCAGATATTTGACTAGTAAAGAGAAATTTGCATTCCTTTTAACTTTTGATAAACCTACTCTAAGTAATCTCACAGCCGCATATATCCATACAATCACTACTAAGCGAGATAAAGCCGAATCGAATAGAAATTAGACATTTATTTACACTCCTATATGTCCATATGTATGTAATGTATATATGTATGTTTATGTTCATGTGCTGTACCCATGCGACCTGTATTTAATTCTGTAGAACACAAATGTACAATAAATGTCTTCATTCAATCATTCAATGAATATTTCAACTCACCTTCTCCTTATCAGCTCAAAGCTTCCCTTGACTCCAATCTGTGTAGTCTGATCCAAAGCCCCGCCATCGGCGATCAACGTGTCCAGGGCCAGACTGGGGGAAGCGTGCAAAATGGAAAATCGTTATACGAGTATTAAACCTCTGCCTAGTTGAATTCAACTTATCTAGCTACTGCTTGCAAAGAAAATCAGAAGCGACAAGCTCAGACTTAACGTTGCAGCAAGGAGGATATGTGGCAACGCTGGGTTCTTTTTTAAGAATCACAGAAAAGGAGGATATGTGGCAACGCTGGGTTCTTTTTTAAGAATCACAGAAAAGGAGGATATGTGGCAACGCTGGGTTCTTTTTTAAGAATCACAGAAAAGGAGGATATGTGGCAACGCTGGATTCTTTTTAAGAATCACAGAAACAAATTTTTAAAAACACACGGACACAATGACGGACAACAAGCCCAAAACAATACTTCTTTCCCATCGGGTGAAGTGAAATCAGAATAAACAAAAGCATCAGATGAATAAGAACATGTCATAACCTCGATGAAGGTCAGACATACAGATACACAAGAAAGCAGATAAGTAACTGGATAGTTTTTGAAAACTGTGAGACATGCTTTAAGTAGCATCAATGTAATGCCCAAATAAAATGAAAAGTGACATTATGAATCTTTTTAACTTCATGACAATCTAGTTACGTGGTTGGGGAGGAAACAATGCAGTAGAGAACGCATTGTGAACACCGCAAGCATATAGCATAAGCAGATAGCCATAGTGACCCTACTGCATTATTAGTCTAGATACGAAGTTTAAAACGTTAATTATTTAGCACCGTGTCCAAAATGCTCCCTTACTTCCCCACCATTCCCTACCACAAAAAAACAATTTTAGTACTAAAATCAAAGAACCCACATATTATAGAAGAAGTGGGTAAATTCGTCTTCCACTGCCTGACAAGAAGAGGTCAAACCCAGTAAAACTAGTACCATGCATGTTGTAGAATATAGTATAATGCTAGACGTAGATATAGTCTCACATACCACTGTATTTTCTTTCTTATGTTGTTTGTAACTGCAATTAGCCCTCGGGCTTGTATTTGCAATAAACTTTCTATATAAAAATTATGATTCTGACTCTTCTACCATACGGCAAAAACACCTTGTTGGACTCACTTGTTGATGGCGAGCATGTAGATGAAATGCGGCTCCAAGACGCGGTGTATCGGGTGGGAGATGGACAGGTTCTGCTTGGCCGCCAGGTTGCAGGCCTCCACAAAAAGATGCGTGAAACCTGCAGACATAACAGAACGACCATCAATCCAATCAAGTTTTCTATAGTTTAGAAAAGAACAAGGAACAGTCAAGGTACCTGCTTGATATGTTTGTCCCAGCGTGCAGACAATTCATGTTCCAAGCTGATTTGCTCAGAAGTAGAATAACTATAAAGTCTATCGTACTACAGTACTATAAAGTCTATCGTACTGCTATAAAGTCTATCGTACTACTATAAAGTCTATCGTACTATAAATACACAACTACCACACTAGACAAGCACAATTATTACACAGACCCAATCACACATCCAAGCAGGCCAACATACATTTGCATATAGAGCGGCAGTAACTTACAATTCACTAAGCACTTACACAATTCAAACAAGCACCCACCCTTAAATCATTTAAAGAGAAACTGAAATATGACCAGTACTGATCTTCTGACACTTCACTCCTTTTGAACACTGACCGATTATGATTTAAGTATTTTTTGTTGTTGTTTGTTTGATTTGTATTAATGGTTTATTACAGTAACTATTATGTTCAAGTACTTTATTATTTATGATCTACTATTCCTAAGTTTGTATTATTTGGAGCTTGACCTCTGACATCTCACCTCTGACTGATCTTGTATTTTGATTTATGATTTCACGTTTGATTATTATTATTTTATTACCATATTTTCTGTATTGGGCTCCGTTGGGAATCAGTCCCAAGGCGCTGAAGGGACCACCCATGTGTCTTCAAAATAAATAAATAGATAAATCGTCTTTTCTGCAGGGATTGCTCTCAGCTGATTTGGATTAGCAAATTAAGATACATATTGACATGTGACAACTCGTACATTGCACATATGGGGCAATATCTTATAAAAAGCCTAAACTAGAGTTAGAAATCCCACTAATGTATATATATGATTGTAAAAACAAGACGCTAGGAGGCCCAAAATTTAATCGTTTCAAGGTCTCATCAAGACCTATCCACCTACCAAATATCAAGACAATCAATTGAAGCCTTCTCGAGTTATCGTGTTTACAGACAGACAGACACACACACAGATACAAACACAGACACACACACGAACACGAAAACATAACCTTCTTGGCAAATTCGAAGGTAATTATGTTACAGCACGGCTCCCATCAAGTAATAAAACCTACAGCACGTCGGCAGAACGTACTGCGCCTGTGCGAAACCTGTAATGTATTGTACATAGCACTGCAGCAGAATGTCTCATATAAGGTTGTATTCGCTCATATAAGGTTAGCATTTCGACAGTAGTTTCTAAATGTTGTGTCAGAAAGAATATCCTCTGCAACAGGCAAAATTCTGATGCAACGTTGACCAAAAATCCAACTAAAAACGCGAAAATCCAGGGTTCTGCGCAGGCGCAGTACGTTCTGCCGACGTGCTAAAACCTACCAAGGTGAGGCACGGCCTCGTGATAGCTCGCTTCTGCGCAGTTGAACCACATCTTGGCCAGGAGCCACGTGTGGGGCGGGTCAGTCGGCAGGAACACCTGCAAATGGATGATGGTGTGATACAGACACATATCTAAACTTGTGCCTTACAGGGCAGTTCATTGGCTGTCTGTACTTTCGGACGTGATCGCGTGGGACTCAAGAGGGCTGCTCTAGACTCTACCAGGCGTTCTTTGGGGAGGGGGGGGGTCAGGATAGTAGACTCCGGAAAAATTTGGGTCAATGGCCAGAGGAGTGAATCTCAGCCATTTTTTTTTTCAATTCAATTTATTCAATCCAACAAAATCGTACAAAAGCAGGGAAAGCTAATGCAATGTATTCGATTTTTACAATTTGTTAAAAAAGCAAGACAGGACAGGTACACAGAAACACACTATATATAAATATGTACAAACACCATTCACTCTACAACAGGAGATAGCGGACATAGGTTTTCAAATATCAGCCATTGTCACTGACATTGTAGAGTCTTAATGCACAATGTAAGAAAGACCTTTTAAGGCGTAGAGTCCTAGCTTTAGGCAAAGTGAACATGTTGCTGTTCCTGAGCCATTAAAGTTTCATTTCCCCCACGGCGAGCAAATGAACTGCAGTGTGACCAAAGTCCCCCTGGCCCATTCCTTAGAGATTAGGGTATCCCTGCTTTTTCGGGTGGTGTGTGAGTGTGTGTGTGTGTGTGTGTGTGTGTGTGTGTGTGAGTGTGTGTGTGTGTGTGTGTGTGTGTGTGTGTGTGTGTGTGTGTGAGTGTGTGTGTGTGTGTGTGTGTGTGTGTGTGTGTTTGTGTGTGTGTGTGTGTGTGTGTGTGTGTGTGTGTGTGTGTGTGTGTGTGTGTGTGTGTGTGTGTGTGTGTGTGTGTGTGTGTGTGTGTGTGTGTGTGTGTGTGTGTGTGTGTGTGTGTGTGTGTGTGTGTGTGTGTGTGTGTGTGTGTGTGTGTTTGTCTATCGCACAGGGAGAAAGTCATTAATCACTTCTACATCTTGTATCACTCGCCAAAAATCATAACCGTTCTTGTCGAAGTAATTACAGGAAAAACTAACACGGACACTTACCGGGTGCTGTTCCTTCCCTTCGTTAGGGTACAGTTGGATTGCCACCGGCACGAGGTCCTTCTTGTCATTGACGAAGAACAGACCGAATGGAGCGCACATCTATACCAGACACATGTCAGAATTCAGTCCGCAGCTCAGGTGTAACTTCCTTCATTTAGTAAATCTGACATTTGAGGGTAAACCCAACCGACGGTGCGACTACTCTCCAAGCAGAGGTTGATGGTGGAAGATCGTTTGCTTTTTATATATGGCCCCTTTTTGTCGCTACCTTGGGTGGGGAAATGGTTACAGACTGGCCAATTGGATACCGTCTTACCCCCACCTGAAGATCTGCTTGGAGATTAGGTGCGACAAAGTCTCGACAACAGAAGAGTACTACTTATAATAATAATAATAATATTAATAATAATTTTTTCAAATCAAATTTAAAAGTCAACCACGCCCTCACATACCTTCAAACACCAGCCAACACTGGCCGAACGTGCCGTTCACACTGAATCTTTAAAACATTTTGAAACATTCGGCTTGCGCAGCCGAACAGTAGCCAACCTGGCCGAACACCAGCCAACCCAGCCGACCTTGCGGCCTACTTCTAACCAGATTGAGAGAGTTCGGGTAGTGTTTGGGAGGCCAAATTCATAATTTTTTAAAGGGGCTTATCGCACAAAACATGAGTGCTATTCTTAAAGGCAGCCTGCCTGTTATTCAGCGAACAAGCGAAAAACAGTCGAGTACTCACAGGTCTGGCTTGTGTGGTGTTGGCCATGGAGGTGACCGCCATGATGGTGTGATCCACGTAGTACAGCCGCTTCCTCTGAATTGCATCTTTCAGCTTCAGGCCATGCAGGAATGGCTCAACCATTTCAGCCGTCACTCCAAACCTGAGAAACATCAGTGAATAGTTTTTAGGTTGGTCATTAAATTATTAATAGCGTCCTTCACACACAACAATATGAAATGTTAAACCTGTCAACATTTCGATAATTTTTTTCTGCATCGTACATATACATTCCTCATCATCTTTATCAAGTCAAGACAAACACTGAAAACAAGATGAAATCTAAACAAGTAAAATCTGAGATTTTATACCTCCGGGCTTTTTATTGTATATTTTTCCATGTTGTTTGTTCTGTATAGTTGATGGTGTTGAATTGTATGTGTTAGATTTAGCGTTCCTGGTTGTGTTAATACAGGACTGGTCAACATTTTCATCTGCAGCCCATACCATGTACCCACGGTAAAAATGCATGTCGAGAACGTCTGAGACAGTATACCACGGTATTTGTAAGTTTAAGAAGTCGTACTATACGCCGAAAACATCCAAGATTGCGCAAGAGGGCGTTGACCCCTGACCCATTGGCCCACCCGGAAGTTGCGCTGGCAGCCAGCCCAGCGCCGCGCGCGACAATTTTCAGATTTTTACGCCCCAAAACACATATACAATAAAAACAAAAAAACCTGCACCATCTACAGCCCATTAGAAGAACATACACCGAGTCCAGTCTACCCCAACGCGAGATACAACTGCGATAATATTTCAAAATACATATCGGAAGCAGACACCCCTCTGTTTGACCCCTTTTAAATGGTAAGACCCAAAACTGAAACCTCCCCATTCCTTAACAACATGGTAAATTCCATTTTCAGCATGGCGGGGGTGTCCGGAGCACTTAAAAACCTTTTATTTCCACGCCCATAAACACATATACAATTAAACAAAAACGTTCTGCATCATCTGCAGCCCAACAGCAATACGCATACCGAACCACAGACCAATCCGTCCAGCCGATCGCGAGAAACAGCTGCTGACAGAAATGTTTCGAACAATAGTAAAACCTCCTCGCGGAAGGATGTCTCCTTCCCCGGAGGTAATTAAAAACCTCGGTCGGCCCCTTAATGCTACGGTCACAACCCGCCGTACGTGCTTCTGCGTGCTGTCTACGTACAAAAACGTCGGCAAACGTAGGGCATCCATCCGCCTCCGAACGGAATCCTACGGATTTGGGAGCACGCAGACACGCCGTAGAATTAACTTTAAGTGCATGTACTTTATTCTATATTGCACATGTACGCGTATTTCGATGTCACCGTCAAAAAATGCCTTACACATATTTTACATACCAATGAATAGTTTTGGATAAACACCGTTCCAGTTCAACTTACCCCTTTGGACACATTATTATTTAAACACACTTTCTGACAATGCTGAATAACTTTTATTCTTCGCGGCAGTTTGGTTTGTTCGAATGACACTGTGAAATTATGTTAGCCGCGCAAAACTACATCACAGAAACAAAACGCTTCTAGTTATGTGTGTCCTGCTATGCTTTCCTTCTCTTCTGGGGTGGGAGGTTTGACTCATGCCATCCATAGTTTTTCAAATGTGTTGTAAACGCCTTTATATTGTAAAAGTTGCTGCGAGAATATAAGTCATACCTAACTTGAGTTAGCAGTCACTTAGTCCATGTCCTTTTATTTGTATTCATCAGTGTGCTCCCGAAATAAAAAAAATTAAAAGAAAATAAAAAAATAAAAAAAAAGAAATTACCCCTTTGGAATCTCCGTGCACAGACGGATGGATGTAGGGTTGACTCCTGCCAGGCGCTGCCAGCCGAAATTCTCGTCGGTCTTCCAATGCAGTTTTCCCTACAGTTGAACAACAAACAGTACTGAATATGCATGCCAGAATGTGACATAACGAAGGAAACGACACCCTACCTACCAGGCCTACAACAAACTGAAAGCAACCGAATGGAAATGGAAGGGTCGCAGGGTTGTTACTTGGACGTGGCATCAGTGGGTGACTGAATAAAGAGACCATTTTTCACAGTTTTATTCAGCCGACGTTTCGGTGACCGTCTGTTACCTTCCTCTTGGCAAATCTGATTGGTGCGCAGGCATGGTAGAGGAAGGTGACAGACGGTCACCGAAACGTCGGCTGAATAAAAGACTTGGTTGTGTAACAAGAGAAGCTTTTAAAAAAGGCTGGCCGGGGCGTATTTGGAAGAAGTACATGAAAGTTGCATATTGTGTTCCGGTAAAGTTGTTGCAAGATTAAAACTAAATTGCTATTTGAATTGTGCATGCTTTAAGTTGAATTGTGCATGCTTTAAGTAGAACTTAGAAGTGCCATGGCTATGGCAAAAGGAACATTGTTTAGTGGCATGATTGAGGCCCGGCCTGGTAAAAAAGGCTGGCTGGGGCGGAATTGGAGGAAGACTGATGAATAGTGACTACAGGCTACAGCTTTGGAGCATTGAATTTTTTTCTAGAACAGATGAAAACTTACTAACCTGATGAAATTATTCACGGATCATGACGTCCCTCTTACCTTCGGCACTCTTCCCCGTGGGAATATTTGGCTGATGCTGTCGAAAGATTCCCATCGGCCGTCTTTATCGAAGAACTTTCCCAGGAGTATGTCCACGTTTTTCATGGCAAGTATAGCCGCCGTCTCCGCCAGGGCCCGCTGTAAATGTGTTTTTAGAAATAAGAGGAATCATCAGTAAGCTGTACGTGAACGATTGAAAAGAGGAGAGTGAGTGTAAGATTAATACTAGTAGTCACAAGCCACATTGTTTCGTATCGCTAACTCAGGAATGACGCAGATAATGCAAATATACATAGTGTGCTGTGACCAGTGACCAGTACCTTTTGCTTTTCTGAAAACTTCGCCTCTGTTGGAAGCTTCCTAATCTGTGAGTGAGAGAGAATGGGGTTTGTAAATACGCCAACTGTGTACATATAACAAGAATTATTTATAATAACCTAACAACTGCATCGTTAAAAACCATTCAGCCAATCATCCGCTGTTCTTCTCGTTCTGGGAACATGGTAGATTTATAGAATTTCTTCATTGATTATGCAGAATAGGTCCTGATTTACATAGCTGTTATCAAATCAAGTCGAGCTACCTACAGACCAAAAATCACGACAATCCGGTTCATGAGTTATCCTTCTTCCAAGATTTTTCAAGAAACGCTCCTGCAGTTCCTGAACAAGCTGCTGATTGTGCTAGGGGGCCCAAACTAATGTCACTTATTCCGTAGCACAAGAGCTATCTACCACCAAAATTCGTGACCCTAGCTAGCATTTCCATATCGCGAGATGTTACGAAAACCAAATGTTACGCTGCAGTACCATACGAAGCCACAGGGGTGATCATGAGGAGAAAAACTTCCTAGGTCTCATTAAGACCTACCAAACTACAACCCATCCACTAATCTCAAAGCAGATCCCTCTCGGTGGCAAAAAGACAGTATCAAATTGGCCAGGCAGTATTCATTAGCCAGAGAAGGTCCGCGGCCACCGACGGGGATCAGGACAAAAAAACGGCCATATATAAAAAGGTAACGATCATTCCCCCACAACCTCTGCTTGGAGAGCAATCCACATGTATGTATGCATGTGGTTTCGTGCTAAACCACATGCTAGCTGTAAATGTACACACATACAACATACATACATGCATGCATAACCTTCTTGGCGAAGCCAAATACATAAGCAAACCGATAAAGCACATACCATTGGCAGAAGGCCGTCCACGGGGTTGAAGGAGTCGTAGCGCTCCCGCATCACTTGGAGCTCATCCTGCCTCTGTTCGCTCCGCTTCTCGTGCTGAGGGAGGACACAGCCGCCTGGAACCAGCCACACATGGCTTCCTGCGAGCAGAAATAGGACAGAATTCGGGTTTTAAGCCTCCTCCTAATTTTTTTTACCGAACACTAGCCGACCGGGTTCAGCTGACGTTCCGGGGCAGTCTGACCAAATGTAGACCATGTTTGGAGGGGGGGGGGGGCGACTAGTGTTCGGGAGGCCAAATTCGTGAACAGGTGCCTAGTGGGCCTAGTCAGAAGAAAATCTTTCCTTCTGGTCAAACAAGAAGGCTGGTCTTCCACTCTCTGCAATACGGTATAACAACAGTAAATAACAACAATCCCTTGTCTTATATATAATTAATTAACTTTAGTTTAACTTTAGTTTTAATTTTAAACATGTAACTACCAACACAGATGAACTTTCATGATAGTTTGACACCGACCTGCTACGATCCAGCGATCCACAGGGAAGTAGTAAGTCGGCCCGTTGATGTCTGGATTAAGCTGGACGGAGAGAGAGCTGCAAAACCAGTGGTCATCTGGGCGCGAGACGTCCCGTGATAACTTCAGCTCTTGGATTGGCGGGGTCACCTTGACGTTGCTCAGCGTGTACCTGTAATACATTATGGAGGTATTGTTTTCAGTTTGTCTGCGTGTGCGTGTGTGTGTGTGTGTGTGTTTGTCTGTGTTTCACGGAAGGCTATGTTGGAATTTTGGAAAGTGTGGGTCTAGAAATTTTTTGACAGATTGCTTTTAAGATATTTCATACGCGAAATCCTCTAAACTCTGAAAAGAAGACACGTAAGTAGAATTAATCAGATTTGCTCTTGTAGGGAGGTGGTATTTTCTACTTACTCTCCTTCTGCCCCCTTTTCGTGATCATCTTTCCACCATACGTCAAGTTGTAGGTCGCCAGATTCCTTTCCCTCGGAGTCCAGAAGACTGATGTACACATTCCCGTTAGTCCCTGCTCCAGCGTAGCTTCCCGTCTTTGTTTTGACGAGAACGTCCATGGGCCCTTGCAGCTGCCTAGCCATTGCCTAGAAATAAATCGTTAATAAAATGTTATTACCCTAAAGTTCTTTGATCACAACCATTTATTTTTCACGAGCACTATGCACCAAGTAACATCTAGCGCCAGTGCACAGTAAACCAGTCAGAATTGCCCTGATGAAGATGACAGACGGTCATCAAAACGTCATCTTGTGAAAAATAAAATTTAATGGTTGTGATCAAAGAACTTTGCTATTCATTCGTTTACCAACCTGATGAAATTATTTACGGATAGTATTACACTAATATGAGCATACGAAAACAGACAATTTCTATGCCAAGGCTTTATAGGTACTTATGAACCGTTGTAAAAACAGCTCAAGATCTGAGAGAATGCACGTTCAATTTGCCAATAACCACTATAGGCCTTCTACCTTTGATGGTATTTTACATTTCATGCATTGTTGGCATTCAAAGAGGTAGCTTTGTTTGATATAAGAATAGTGAACAGCTAGCGTACCCAGTATTATAGGATATTAGAGTTTTTAACTTGCCTCGAGTTATACTTGATCATATGAGCTATGAACGCTCTAGCAGTATATGATGCATACCGTACGGTTTTTTTTGCACGAGAGAGAGAGCTGGACGGAGAGAGAGCTGCAAAACCAGTGGTCATCTGGGCGCGAGACGTCCCGTGATAACTTCAGCTCTTGGATTGGCGGGGTCACCTTGACGTTGCTCAGCGTGTACCTGTAATACATTATGGAGGTATTGTTTTCAGTTTGTCTGCGTGTGCGTGTGTGTGTGTGTGTGTGTTTGTCTGTGTTTCACGGAAGGCTATGTTGGAATTTTGGAAAGTGTGGGTCTAGAAATTTTTTGACAGATTGCTTTTAAGATATTTCATACGCGAAATCCTCTAAACTCTGAAAAGAAGACACGTAAGTAGAATTAATCAGATTTTAATCAGGCTTTATAGGTACTTATGAACCGTTGTAAAAACAGCTCAAGATCTGAGAGAATGCACGTTCAATTTGCCAATAACCACTATAGGCCTTCTACCTTTGATGGTATTTTACATTTCATGCATTGTTGGCATTCAAAGAGGTAGCTTTGTTTGATATAAGAATAGTGAACAGCTAGCGTACCCAGTATTATAGGATATTAGAGTTTTTAACTTGCCTCGAGTTATACTTGATCATATGAGCTATGAACGCTCTAGCAGTATATGATGCATACCGACGGTTTTTTTTCGACACCCCCCCCCCCGAACGCCGAGCATGGTGGGTCGACGAATTCGGCTACGGTTCGGCTGCGGCAGCCGAATGTTTCGTGGGGCGTTCGGGAGGTGCGACTGTTAGAGTTGACTAGTTTTCCACGGTAAAGACTAGCCTCCTGTTTTTATCGCCTTATTTTAATATAGCCGGCCATCCTACATAGCAGCCGAGTGAAGGTTCAATTCCGCTATGTAGGATGGCCGGCTATATTAAAATAATGCGTTAAAAACTCTTCCCGCCGCCGCGGGGCCTGCACAGGAGGCTAAGTAAAGACAGCAAAACATGAGCCAACCATCCGGAAGTAGATTAGCAGTGTTCGGGTAATCTCCAAGCAGATCTTTTGGTGGGGGTATTACAGTATCAAATTGGCCAGTCTGTATCCATTTCCCCACCCATTTCCCCACTTGGGTGGGGAAATGGATACAGACTGGCCAATTTGATACTGTCTTACCCCCACCAAAAGATCTGCTTGGAGATTAGTGTTCGGGGCGCGTCCAGTGATCATATTTGACTCCAATTTATGTATAGAAAACGTAGGCGTGACCTAAGATTTTAAACCTCCTTGGCCAGAGTGCTCCCGAACGTCAGCAAAACCTGGTCGGCTGGTGTTCGGGAGATACGGGGGAAGGTCGTGAATGTGTGACAGGGGCTTTATGTAGGGCGCCAGAATCATATGCGACGGGTCCCTTAGTATAACGAAAGACTCTTTCAAATGAAAGGCAAACTGAAGTCATTTACAGCAACCTAGCATTACATACTATCCGGGTTTGCGATTTCAAACTAGATCTATGTATGAGCTCTGAACGTTTCAGTAATTATATGTAGACCACACGCACGGTCTACATATAATTGACAAGAGTTCCACGATCTCATACCTTCGCCAAATGATGTTAACCCTTGCGGGTGACGAATGATACAATTTTAATCATTGATTTTGTAAATAAGAGCCTCATTTGCATGGATTATATCAGTTGATCATATTCTCCATCCGATGACAGCCTTATCATAACAAAAAGGCTATTATAGCACTTCCTCATCAATTATGCAAATGAGGTCATGATTTGAATAAATTATGCTTATTGATGTTCACCTTCACTTAACTTCCAAATGTGGCAAGTATAAAATTCGGGGTGCAGCAGTTACAACTATGGAATTATAAGAATTTGCCATTGATTATGCAAATTAGGTCCTCATTTACATAATCTATATCCTCAGATGTTTTTCTCGTTCTCAAGTAGATGTCACAAGTGTTTCATAGTTCTATTATCGAACAAAGCAGATTTATAGAATTTCCTCATTAATTATGCAAATTAGCTCCTGATTTGCATAATTGCCATCTGATTATGTCAAGCATCACTTCATCTACCTACATACCAAAAATCACGACAATACGTCAACTGGTTCTTGAGTTATCGTCCTTCAAATGTTTTTCAACAAATACTCCTGCAGTTCCAGAACAAGGCGCTAGAGGACCCAAACTCATGTCACTTCTTTTCTACCCCAAGAGCTATCTACTAACCAAAATTCATGACCCTAGCATGTCCTGATCATGAGATATCAAAACCGGAAGTTCAGCTGCAGTACCTAGGAAAGCCGCCAGGGGGCCCAAAATCTAATCATTTCTAGGTCTCATGAAGACCTACCCACCTACCAAGTTTCATTCCAATCCATCCACTGCTTCTCGAGTTATCTTGCTAAACCACACACAAACACAAACACACAAACACTCACACACACACACACACAAACGCTACTGAAAACATAACCTTCTTGGCGAAGGTAACAAATCGTGGCAAGAAAGAGAGGGGGTTCGGGAACAGTCTGGCCAGATTTACTGACCACGCCTACCTTTCCTAAATTCCCTACCTATTCCCGTCAGAAGGCAACCAGCCGAACCTCTTGTCCACAGGCAAATGCTATAAACATTTTGAAACATTCAGCTGGCGCGGACCTAGCCGAACACTTGAACTCAAAAAAGTTGCGACCACAGCCGACCTTGCTCCCTGCCTAGCTACTCCTAACCATGGGCGTGGGCGTTCGGCTAGTGTTTGGGAGACCATACTCTACCAGCTTCCTTCGCAGACTTCTGATGCGGCGGGTTCGGGGAACGACGCGAGTTATGTCGCGAGGACGGTTTTGCCGCCGACCCTGGACATTTTGCCGGGGAGAGACGGTTTCCCCGCATAAGAAGTCTACTTGCACTCGGCGACCAAAAAGGGCTATCAAAAACAATTAACAATGTTTGGCATGGATGTGTGAACTTCCCGCAATAAACGCCACCACGGCAGGGAGGTGTTCACGCCTCCGTTGCTCGACGAGCCACAACGGTTTCTAGATCATTCGCCCCATGTCACTTTCGCCCCGTCTATTTACTACCAGATCGCCCCATGTTTAAGTGACCAGTGTTATGTTTAACGTATAAGCAAAAGTGAAATGGCTTTACAATAATTTAGTGGTTAAAATGGTATTTGTATTTGAAGTTCTTTATTGCTTCTCTATAACATATTTTATATAAGATATCTTCCTTTTAGTCTATAGACAATTTGTATTTCATTCTGTATATTGTTGTTAGGTATTGCAATTGAATGCTCGGATAGGGACACTGTTTTACTTACAATACTTTCCCTTGCGATGAAAACGTTCCCTTGTGACGGAAGCAAGAGTTTCGGTATTTGGAACGTCCATGGCCTAGGCTCTAAATTAGAAGACGTAGATTTTTTAGCACACATTAGAAAATTTGATTTCTTTTCGCTTCTAGAAACTTGGACCACGGATAAGACAAAAATTAACGTCCCAGACTACAGCTATTTTCACTTAAATAGAACAAAGAGTAAACGTGCGAAACGTGCCTCGGGCGGTATTATATTTTTCTATAGAAACGAACACAAAAAACACGTTAGGGAAGTAAAAATCCTCGTCTTCAGATATCCTTTGGGTGCGAGTAGACCGCGAACTTTTAGGGCTGTCTAAAGACCTGTTCATTTGTACCGTGTATATTAGCCCAAGCTCATCCACCATGCATAGAAACTCCGAAAACCATGTTCTAGAAATTTTAGAAAATGAAATTTCCAGACACAGCTCACAAGGATTCATTCTCCTAGGGGGAGACATGAACGCTCGTTTTGGCAACCTTCAAGACTACGTGAACTGCGATAGCCTTTGACAACAACGATCAATTTGTGAATTTAAACAACTCAATAAGACAATATATGGACAAAGCCCCCCCAAACAAATTTTGGCAGACTAATCAGTGACCTATGTATCCAAGCTAACCTGTCTATACTAAACGGCAGAGTTGCAGGTGACCTACAGGGAAAATTTACTTGTTATCAACCTAACGGATGTAGCACCGTAGACTACATGATTTCTAGTCAATTATTCCTAAAACACATTCTATTATTCCGTGTCAATCCGTTAACTGAATTCTCAGACCATTGCATGCTGTCAGTATTTATCCACTCAAAGTCCGCTAAACCCTATGTCCGAGAAAAGCTTAGAACTTCTAACGTCAGACCAGTACCTAAACGATTTAACTGGAATGAAAAATCGGCGCAAAACTTTTTCCAATCCCTGAGCCAACCTCGCTTCTCACTAAGACTACACACCATTTCCCGCGAAAATCTCACCAACGTAACCACTCCTGATCAAATTGAAAACATTGTTTCCGAATTCAGCTCTTTGCTAAGAGAAGCTGGACATGAGTGTCTGAATCTAAGAGGGAAAAGAAAACATACAAAGAAAAAACAAAACAAACGGTGGTTTGACAAATCTTG